AAAATGAATGGGTATAGCCTTCACCTTTGACAAATCTACTTCCTCAAAATCTCCCCACTATAAACACTATAGAGTGTTTATGTATTCAGTGCAAGGAACAGCATCATCAGTACAACTGAATCGAAAAACCTCTAAACAGAGAATAAAGCTGAAACAACATCTGTTTCTGGATATATTTCAGTGTGGTGTAATAATGATCCTATTACACTAGTGATGAGGAGGAGGCTCTGATAGCACCCATCTGCATTCACATAAAAAAACAAACCTAAAATCGCTTCTGAAAAACATTCAAGCCACATTAAAAAAAAATTTCAACAGGACTGCTTTATTCTGTAAATTGAAGACACGACTGTTACATGAACTACAAATAAAGACTTAAAATATTCTACAAAAATCAAATAACTCATGCTGTATGTCACTCCTCCCATACTTTTAGCTTGTGTTCAATTACAGTCAGTTCTGAACTGGCCCATCTCTGGATTAGATTTCTAAAGTCTTTTACACAGAATTAATGAAATGGAAAAAAAGTATCAAAGTTTATATTCTATCCTGTACTTTGACCCTGAAAAGGTATGGGTCTGCTTAAAAAAAAAAAAAAAGACAGAAACATACATGTAATCACAATAAAGCTTAACACTATGCAGAGCTTTGTAATCATTTTCCGCAACAGACTGTAAGCTGCGCTGTAGAGATAATGCATAGCAGAGGAGAAAGCTAGGAACTGGGACTAGGTGAGGAACACAGTGTCAACACAGTGGACAAGTGACGGACACTCCTGCTCTGGAGCTCACATACCCTGTCAGCAATCCTCAAAAAGCCACCTGCACCCAAGGCAAAGTCCAGAGCCTCCGGTGTGCGGAGTATGAACGTCCGAGTGCTGCAGTAGGCTACCTCTTCCACTAACGGCAAAGCTGTCTAAAAACCACAGTTCCAAGGGCTACAGAACACACAACTATATGGTCTAACCAACATCGAGTGAAAAGGTGTACTTTTATGTGTCTATTTCTAATATAACTTAAACAGAACTTTTATATAAATTTGGGCTTCCATCCAATCCCTCCTCCATTTCCTTAGGAGGAACTGAGTAATGGAAGCAAGCAAAGTAACATCACAACCACAAATGACTGCGTTTTAAACAGGATTATCAGTTTTAAGGGACAAAGACATTTGAATGTTTTTAATACCAAAACTTAAAAAAACTGTTATAAAAACTGCTATTCTTTTCCCTAGTATTTCTAAATGTTGGTGTTATGTCTGCTCAGACAGATTAATATATTAAATTAAGCCAAAACTTTAGACTGGCAAGGTTTTATGATTCTATTTTAAAAAGGTGTTTAAAAACATAACAAAACAAAAATACAAGTTAGTTGCTTTGTGTTACATTTCACAACCATTATGTTAAATGTTTTCTCTTCTACAGAAACAGGGTCCTTTCTTTATGTCACAACTGCAATTATTTACTGCTAGATGTTTAAGGACACAGACTAGTGTGCAGCTGGAACCTGTTGATGGTGATGTCGGAGGTTTCTGAGTGTCAACCTATAGTAGGCCAGGTCCTCTCCTAGGACCACACAATTTCTTCCAGGACAGATAAGCAAGAATAAACACTGAGACAACACAGAGCAGGGGACAAAGATGACCTGAGGGTGCAGCTGGTGATGGTAATGAAAAACAATGATGCACGCTCTCCCAGGGTGCTGTGACAAGGTGTCAATATGTAAAATATGCCCTCTTCACTCAGCTGTGACTGTACCTCACCTTTCCCTAAGATAATAAGGGCATAAGTGCAATAGAAAATAGTAATGAAACAAAATACCTGCTGAATGTGACCCGCCTTAGGAACATTTATTTACCAGGCAGAAAAACATAAAGCAATCATAAGTAGGCAATCATAAGTAGGCATCAACAGGAAACCAGTGATAAATTTGTGGAATACACATATAGTTCTGTGTGGCCTACAAAAATGATAACATTTGATTCTTAATGATTTTTTTTGGCCAGAAGGCAACAGCAAAGCAGTCAAAACACAGTTCCTGAGCCAGGAACAACTCCATCACAAACTTATCACATGGTCCATGAGCTTCTTTAAAATATACTACTTTGAATATACAACTTTGAAACACAAAAGTTTTTTTTTAAGGGTTTGACTTGAAATATTTTATCTACTAGATTACACTTTGGGATAACTCCATGAGCAACTCCATCACAAACAGGCTGTGTTCTAGAAGCAAACTGCTGAGCCTCTCTGACCTTCTGCTTCTTCCATAAAGTAGGAACGACTGACGATGCCTCCACCTCCGCAGGGTGCCAGGCGAACCCACAGAGCCACTACCTGCAAAGCATGGAGGTGAGCCTAAGAAATGCTAGAAAATAACTTATTAATTTAAAAAGGTGTCATAAAAAATGTATCTGCGACATGGAGTGAGAAGAGACCACAGAAGCACGATGACCCCATTCAGAATCAGAGGGAGGGACTGCCCTTCTTCAGACAGCATAGTAGGTATCATGACTGGGCGGTGAGTGTGAGGGTCATTTTTGCTTTCTTCTTAGGGTTTTCTGTATCATTATGAACAAAAACAAAAAAAAAATCGTGAGGTGCTCTTGGAACGTGAGCTAGTGGAAGCTTTCAGGGGAGAACTTGAGCAATATGCCCTACACTTTCTCACTTGGTCTCTTGACTCCGAGGAATTTATTCTGTGAAAATAATGCAAGTCTACAAATATATGTATTCATGCATGTACATGCATACATACACATGTGCACATATACATATAAAGGGATATTTGCTACACTGATATTTACAACAAAATTGACAACAACTTGAATTTTTATTGACTGTACCACGCTTGGCAGCAACCACATAGCACAAGAAGACTATGCTACAGTGTCATGTGGCAGGGTCACTCTGGAGATGGCCAAGGCTTTGCACCTCCCTGTGAAGGGGATGATGAAGATCTGTGACACAGAAAGAGGATCCTGAGACCAAGCAGACAAGAACATCCACACAACCCATGAACATGTCAAACTGCCCCAAAGTCAGACTCGGGCCTGAGGTCGGAGGAAGCAAAAGCAGGAATACTTGATGTTGAGAGAGTGGAATTCCTGATGTTTACCATGGTGTGCAGGAAATGTAGTAATGAATCAGAAAGCAACAAGAGAAAGCACAGAAACAACACAGACTCAGAAGGGCCGCACCAGAAAGTCAGAGAGGATGCTCAGAGTGCCAGATGCTCAGATAGAAACTTCAGAAGAGCTGCCTGATGGCCAGAGCCAGCACGCTCACTGAAACACAACCAGGATTAGCCAGCTGTGCCAGTGAGAAAAGGGAGGACGAGCATGTGTGTGAGAGAAAGGAAGAGAGTGCTATACCCTCTGAGCCAACTCCCGCTAAGCCCAGTGACTCATAAAGCCGTGAAAACCACAGCTTCAGGTTCACTGAAACTACGTCCAACTCCCTCCCTATATCATCTTTCTGAAACTGTCTTTATTGGCCAAGAGGATTTTAGGTTCTGAAACAAGTGGCAGACCCCTGTGAAACCCCCTATGCTCCAGCCTACACCACCATAGTTGTGCCTGGACTCCACCTTGAGACAGCTGCCACTGTACTCTGTGCCAGGATCACGCTCTGTGACTTATACTGGCCCATCAGCACTAACATTTAATGTGATTACTGTGAGATTTCCTTAGAAGGAGCAGCTTCTGATATTGTTGTACAACATGCACAGATACTAGCAATGAGCCCTGACCACCGACCTAGATGTCCAGTAGGTATTAGCTGATTAATTACTGAACAATTTATGTAAAGTGTGCGAGAGTTTTACACATCGTCTTACCTTCACCACACAGAGAATTTATAGTAAAGAGTCTAAGAACAAGAGTTCAGAGCAGGATAACTTGGGTCCAAGGGCCAGCTCCCCTTACTAAGTAACAGACCCCAGACAAATTACTAACCTCAGTGTCCAACTGCCTTTAAGTAGGAAGAACAACAACAGTTCTATACCCATAGGGCTACTTACTGAGATAGCAGGCACTTTTCTAAGCAATTTTCAAGTCCCATCTTATTTAATACCCAAAGCAACCATATGAGTTAGTACTGCTTCTAGCTCCGTGTTGTAATGAGGAAACTGAGGCAGGAGGATGTTAATAAGAATGAAACAGATTCAAAGCCCAGTAGCCATTTACCCAAGTCTGTGCTCTGGATCAGAAGAGCCTTCCACACAGCACACTAAGCATGGTGCAGACATCACTGGGAACTTCTGAAGCACAGTTGGTACCTGAATTCTTGAAAATGGAGCAGCACTATACTGGATCAGATCTACTGCAGCTCTGTGATCCTGCTGTTCTCTAAAGGGTCATCTACACTGAACTATGAAAACAACAGTGTCATTTCCTGTTTCTGGTCCTCTCTTTTCAACACTCTTGAAAACTGCTTCAGAACTCAACCTTTACCAGGAACTCATCAAAAAATACACTGGAATTCTGTATTTTACTTCAGAACAGCCTCCAAAATCTAGTTCTCCGCCTCCAGTGGTCAGCAAAGTCCTTCCCTGGGGACCATGGGATCCTAACAGCAATGCACTGTTCACATGGCCCTCACCGACCACTTGGATATCCTCTCTTTCATCCAAATGCCACTCAAGCTATGGCACAGGTTCACTGACTTCTGACAAGAACACACTTCTGGGGACAATTTGCCATCCTTTGACATTCTGCGTTTTAAAACTTCATCTTCTCTCCCAGAACGTGAACCACCAAGGCAGAGACTGGGTTGCTCACCTCTGCAGTCCCAAAGCACCTATCAAGGCACCCATAGCCCTGCACAAGTGAAGGCTTCAGTCACCAAGTGAAAGGTTATACATGAGAACAGTCAGATATCATTAGGAAAATAAGCTGTTTTCCAAGTGAAGGAGACCTGTAGAAAGACCTTCTCTAACTGCCAGCCAACCCTTGAAACCGGCATCAGCAGTTACAGCTGTTTGTAAGACCCGCTCGGCCCTCACCTGCTTCTCCTTCCTCCTCGCCCAGATTCAGCACGATGATGCAGATGTGCTTCCGCAGCTGGCGCGGGTTGGAGAACTTGCGACAGCACTTGCTGCACTCCAGGCTGCTGGGTGCCAGGCCACTCCCTTCCTCCGGGGCCAGCTTCCCATTCTCGCTTGGACTTGCCGTGTTTTCTGCCAGCTCCTCTTCCACACTGGGCTTCTTTGTAGACCCCTTAGGTCTGCCTCTCTTCCTCTTCATGACCAAAAACTCTGTAAAGAAAACAAGAGGGAAAGATGGAATCACACAAGGTTGGAGGGCAGAGGATGCAGTCAACTTCCAAGTGTGAGAAAATCTGCAGGTTTCATACTTTATTAAAAATTAAAGGTCTGAAGCAGTTCCATCAATTACCAGCTACAAATACCATTTTCTGTGCTAATACTGAGGTAAACGGATGTGCCATGTAGGCTAAATGTTAACTGGTAACTGATTTTGTTGTATTCTGCGTCAAGACCATCAGCTCATCAGAACCTCTGCACAAGCTCCTTCTGTGAAGCGAGGAGAATTTTAAGATATGGCCATCAGTACCAGTCCACAAGTCCTTCTCTCATTTACCATCATTTCCATCTAAATCCAGTTCTCAGAAACAGCTTCTGGACTTATTTACACAGGGCTCTCAGAGGCTCTGAAGCTGTCATTCTCTTAGAAAGCTGTGTAACTATTCAGATTATTTCATGGAGCCAAACGGTCCTAGTGAGAAAGAGAAAAAATAATTGCAATCTGAAGCTACAAATTATAGGGTGAAAGACACTAACAATATTTTTCAGATTTCTTAGTGACCTAGTGATTTTATTTTATTTTTTTTATTTAAGGAGAAAAGAAAAGAAAGAAAAAAAAACAGTGAAGGGGTACAAGTTATACAGATTTACAGAAGAAAAAAATGCGCAGTAGGAAATCACTAGGTAATGGATTACATATTGCCATCTTAGAAATAATTGTTCAAGTCACAAAATTAAAGCTTGTAGAGTGGACATTCCAACAATGATACTGCAAACAGTTCTGTTCAATGATCCAATAAAACTCTGTGATATCATTTTCTATCTTATACATTTAAATATACATGCAGTTATATAGTTTAGAGCACTTTCTTTTCCTCTCTTTTGTACAGTGACTATTACACATTTTGGGTTTCATTGCTCCCACGGTTCTTATTGCTTTTTTGGAAGAGAGTAAAACCAAATGTGACATAACAGAACAGAATCGGTCAAGTCAAAAGGGTGGATATAATAGATAATATAAAAACATAATACAAGGTGATCAACAATGGTTACCATAATGCCTCCCGCTATTTCTAATAGAATTGACCTAGTGATTTTAAATGGCATCATCAAAGCTGCTTTTGAGCAAGCTCCATAACTTTACAACATACAGTTCTTCTCAGAATTCATGTAAGACATCCACCTCTAAATGAAGGTGGGAGGGGAGAAGGGTGAGCAGCATGCAAAGGCAGAACAGTCATGCAAAGGTAAAACAGTGTGACCCCAGGGGACGTGAGTTCCCTAGAGGGGCCCTCAGAGGGGCCAAGCAGGTGGCCTCCTAACCTGATCATCCCAAACACCAGAACTGCCTGCCAGGCTGAGGCACGGCATACACTAACCTTGTATGACTCTGAACAGTGGGATAAAGAGGCCTGCATCCTGGCACCATCTTGGTGAATGTCCAACACAAAATGAGGGCAACTGGCAAGAGGCCTTCTGCCTCTCTCCTCTGTGTGGACAGCCACTTTACTCACTGCTAGCACACCAGTGATCCTCTATTTTTTTTTTCCACTCAGACTGTGTGCCTCCCCCCTGCTACCTCCAAGGAGTTAACGGGAACGATCATCAATGGCAAACGGCAGCTGTACTCAAGTAGCGCCGAGAGCCAGCTTCACGCTGGGACACTGCACCAGAACAAAGCAGTGATTTCCTAGGGAGGGCGCAGCCTTGCAGGACCCTTGCACAACTAAGATGCCAAGGATGGATCAGCACTGGTTAAGGATTCAAGATAAAGCTTTCTTCAGCCAGAGCAGCCATCACACAGCTTTCAGACCACTGCACTGGGGCATTCTGGACAGGAGAAAACAGGGAAGGGAGAAGGCTTTAAAGAACTGAAAGCACACCATGGGACCAGATAAAATAACACACCCAAACCCACCCGATCCCTCTGTAGCATGGACTTCGCCAAGCAGGACAAAGGCTGTCTTTCCAGGAGGATCAGCCCGTATGTATGGGAGAAGGGGGAAATGTCCTAACAGAATACAGATAGACCACTTATCTCAAAACTCATTAAAACTTTTCCTATTAATATTCTTTATAGCAACATGTACAACCCACTGAAGCAGCAATTAACATCAAAGCAACAGAACTAGCAGGCCATGAAACACTCACTTCATGTCATGTCAGCCTAGAAACATAGTGAACAGCAGTTTATTGGTGTAAGGGCCCAGCATTAGCCCCGAGTGACAAATGCTGGCATTTGTCACTACTCTGAAAACCTCACAGGATGTAGCTGTGCAGTCAAGAATTAACCTGACCCCAAGGGAGGTCTGCCCTGCCCCTGGGTGACTGAGAGGTAATCTCTAGGCCCCTGGATGTCCCCCGACAAGGAGCATCTGTGGATGACTTGCCATCTGGGCTTTGGAACATGGCACATCAGCTCTGCCCTCTAGAGGAACTGGAAAACAGAAAGTGTAGCCAGAGGCTCAAAGAGGGTTAGAAACTATCCCACATGGGCAGTGTGTCACGGAGCCACCTCTGAAAACTGCACAGCCATGACCTGAATGAGATTTCTAGCTGTATACACTCTTGATGTTGTCATATACTGAAGACATGAGGGAGTGATGGTATCCAAGACTTAGGCAAGGGAAGGAGCACAGAAAGCTCCACTGGGACCCTTCCAAGTCCTGGTTCGTAAGTTTTAAGTGTAGGACTTTCCTAAGTTTGGTAAGTGCTCCAGGAAATTATTGAGCCTGAAGGAGACCACAGAGGTCTCCAAATCTGTAGCTGGCTAATCAAAGAGGGTGGCCCCTAGGGCCCCTTGAATTTGTGGCTGATGTCAGAAGTATTGAGTACTCTTGGGAGTCTTGAGGACAACTGTGGCCCTAACCTAGAATTTGGAAAACTCAACATGGCAGTGTCCCATGTTTGTACCACACAGACAGACCAGAACACACTGTCTGCAAGAGCAGTCCCAACTGTGCATGAGACAGCATATTATCTGCACAGTGCACATGAGTCTCTCTTCCTAAATAGGAAACTCCCAGGGTCCTTGTCCTGACTGGGATTCGTTCCCCCTCGGCACTACTCTGGTGTCCTGGCCCGAAGAATCCAGATAATTAAACTGACAAGCAGTGGACGATCTAGTTTTCACAGGAAGAAACATGAAATCATCCGTGAAAGCTTGGGAAAAGCCTCAAACACAATAGTGACAAAACTAATCTTCCATATTGCTACATCCATAATTCAGATCCTCAAGACCAATTAGTTAGCTAAAAATGAAATATTCATAAATGGAATAACTCAAGTACTGAACAGGAATTGCTGCTGTCAACTACCCACACGTTATAAAGAGCTGAGAATCTTGAAAGTAGGCAGGGAAAGTGCAGCCTATCGAAACCCCTCAATAGACACGAGGTCCACTTCTTTCTCTCAAGTTGCTGTTCTCTGTCACTGGCCTCAGGGACTCTGTCTTAAAAATGTGTCTGTGCGGTAAAATCCTGTCCATTCTCAGCAACTCTGCACACAGGCTCAGCTCCAGCTTTCTGTTCTGGGGTCTCCCACCCCCAGCCCATACCTCACCATCATTGCCTGGCTCGAGAACCATGTTCGTGATGATTTTGCTCCACAACTCAGACCTGACTTCCATTGTCCTTAAGCACATGACCAACCACTACTACACACACATGTGCATATGCACACGCACACACACACACACACACACACACACACACACACACACACACAGTGCCTCCACCTTCCTGTCTTGTCTCCCACTCAACTGCTCAGTGCAGCTTCCATCCCTTCCTACACAGATGTGGATAATCCCCTTTCCCTTTTCATTGACCTCTTCTGCTCCCCTTGCCTGTGTCTGCCTCTTTTACTCGGAGGTCCAACACACCTGCTGATAGCTCAGATCCAGTTCAAGCCGCAGTACCTCCTCCAAAAGGCTGCGCAACTCCTGAAGTAGGACAGGTCATCTGCTCACTTGACCTAGGTCATAGTATGAACCACACTCGTGAAGAGTGTGTACCTGCCCAGCTTTCTGATTGCTTCTTTTTCTTTCCCACTCAAGTCTGAGGTTTGAATTGGCCCCTTAATTGCCAGATTCCACAGGGGTATGAAGCAGACAATAAATCAGTTGTTTGATGACAGGAAAGGACACAGGTGGAAAGTCAATTCTGGTGTTCCAACCCAGTACATCTTTTTTTTTAGTAGAATCTGTTCTTTTTTATTTTAAAAAACAAAACAGAAAAACAAAGGATAGAAATGATACAGAATTTCAAAAAAAGTAGGAAATTAACACTAGTTACTGTATTGCATATTGTTATTTTAGAAGCAGTTGTTCAGGTTACAAGATCTAGGCACAAAACTAATCAGATAGTGACATCACAAACTGTTCTTTTTGATGAACTAACAGAAGTTGATAGTATAGTTATGGATCTTACATACAAATATATACATACCATTAATATTTAGTGCATCTTTATACCCTGCTCTAAAGCTAAAATATAGGGACAACTTCCTCTTAGAAAATCATCCTTGCAGATACAGGGTCAAGAATTTGTCAGAGAAAGAAAGAATCTGGTGAAGGTTCATAAAATTTAATCAAAAGACAATATAAGCATTATGAAACAATAGCCCAGCATAATAAAAAAAATCTAATAATATAAGCCCTTTATTTTTGCATCACTCAAGTTTCCAAGAGACTTTCCCAGCTATTATCTCATATTTTTTTTTACAAAAACCTTAGAGATGAGTTCAGCAAACATAATTTCCTCAGAAGGAAAGGAAATAAGAGCCCCAAAGGTCTAAGTGGCTTGGCAGACTTTTCAGAACCATCTGCTGAACAAGCAGAACTGAGACTTGGGTTTTCTTATTCCCAATCAAAAACCTTTCTGCTGAATCATATGCCTCAGGTATTTGTAATGAAGGTCAGTTCCACCCAATTTAATGGAGCCAATAAAAACGCTGCAGAGGACACAGACTTGCAGTTGGGCAGATATGGATTTGAA